AGTTCGTGTTTTACCCCTCTTGCTAATACGGCCTCTGAAGATGGTAAGGAAGTTCTCCTACACTGTGTGTCCAGTGTAGTTGGCTAGCTTCTCTCCCTCACTCCTACACTGTGTGGTCAGTGTAGTTAGCTGGCTTCTCTCGCTCACTCCTACACTGTGTGGTCAGTGTCGCTGGCTTCTCTCCCTCACTCCTACACTGTGTGGTCAGTGTAGATGGCTTCTCTCTCTCACTCCTACACTGTGTGGTCAGTTTCGCTGGCTTCTCTCCCTCACTCCTACACTGTGTGGTCAGTGTAGGTGGCTTCTCTCCCTCACTCATACACTGTGTGGTCAGTGTAGATGGCTTCTCTCTCTCACTCCTACACTGTGTGGTCAGTGTCGCTGGCTTCTCTCCCTCACTCCTACACTGTGTTATCAGTGTCGCTGGCTTCTCTCCCTCACTCCTACACTGTGTGGTCAGTGTAGCTGGATTCTCTCCCTCACTCCTACACTGTGTGGTCAGTGTAGCTGGCTTCTCTCCCTCACTCCTACACTGTGTGGTCAGTGTAGATGGCTTCTCTCCCTCACTCCTACACTGTGTGGTCAGTGTAGATGGCTTCTCTCCCTCACTCCTACACTGTGTGGTCAGTGTAGATGGCTTCTCACCCTCACTCATACACTGTGTGGTCAGTGTAGCTGGCTTCTCTCCCTTACTCCTACACTGTGTGGTCAATGTAGCTGGCTTCTCTCCCTCACTCCTACACTGTGTGGTCAGTGTAGCTGGCTTCTCTCCCTCACTCCTTCACTGTGTAATCAGTGTAGATGGCTTCTCTCTCCCTCACTCCTACACTGTGTGGTCAGTGAAGCTGGCTGGCTTCTCTCCCTCACTCCTACACTGTGTGGTCAGTGTAGCTGGCTTGTCTCCCTCACTCCTACACTGTGTGGTCAGTGTAGATGGCTTCTCTCCCTCACTCCTACACTGTGTGGTCAGTGTAGCTGGCTTCTCTCTCTCTCACTCCTACAGTGTGTGGTCAGTGTAGCTGGCTGGCTTCTCTCTCTCTCACTCCTACACTGTGTGGTCAGTGTAGCTGGCTTCTCTCCCTCACTCCTACACTGTGTGGTCAGTGTAGATGGCTTCTCTCCCTCACTCCTACACTGTGTGGTCAGTGTAGCTGGCTTCTCTCCCTCATTCCTACACTGTGTGGTCAGTGTAGATGGCTTCTCTCCCTCTTTCCTACACTGTGTGGTCAGTGTAGATGGCTTCTCTCCCTCACTCCTACACTGTGTGGTCAGTGTAGATGGCTTCTCTCCCTCACTCCTACACTGTGTGGTCAGTGTCGCTGGCTTCTCTCCCTCACTCCTACACTGTGTGGTCAGTGTAGATGGCTTCTCTCCCTCACTCCTACACTGTGTAGTCAGTGTAGATGGCTTCTCTTCCTCACTCCTACACTGTGTGGTCAGTGTCGCTGGCTTCTCTCCCTCACTTTTACACTGTGTGGTCAGTGTAGCTGGCTGGCTTCTCTCCCTCACTCCTACACTGTGTGGTCAGTGTAGATGGCTTCTCTCCCACACTCCTACACTGTGTGGTCAGTGTAGATGGCTTCTCTCCCTCACTCCTACACTGTGTGGTCAGTGTAGCTGGCTTCTCTCCCTCACTCCTACACTGTGTGGTCAATGTAGCTGGCTTCTCTCCCTCACTCCTACATTGTGTGATCAGTGTAGATGGCTTCTCTCCCTCACTCCTACACTGTGTGGTCAGTGTAGCTGGCTTCTCTCCCTCACTCTTACACTGTGTGATCAGTGTAGATGCCTTCTCTCCCTCACTCCTACACTGTGTGGTCAGTGTAGATGGCTTCTCTCCCTCACTCCTACACTGTGTGATCAGTGTAGATGGCTTCTCTCCCTCACTCTTACACTGTGTGGTCAGTGTAGCTGGCTTCTCTCCCTCACTCCTACACTGTGTGGTCAGTGTAGATGGCTTCTCTCCCTCACTCCTACACTGTGTGATCAGTGTAGATTGCTTCTCTCCCTCACTACTACACTGTGTGTTTAGTGTAGCTGGCTTCTCTCCCTCACTCCTACTCTGTGTGGTCAGTGTAGATGGCTTCTCTCCCACACTCCTACACTGTGTGGTCAGTGTAGATGGCTTCTCTCCCTCACTCCTACACTATGTGGTCAGTGTAGCTGGCTTCTCTCCCTCACTCCTACACTGTGTGGTCAATGTAGCTGGCTTCTCTCCCTCACTCCTACACTGTGTGATCAGTGTAGATGGCTTCTCTCCCTCACTCCTACACTGTGTGGTCAGTGTAGCTGGCTTCTCTCCCTCACTCTTACACTGTGTGATCAGTGTAGATGCCTTCTCTCCCTCACTCTTACACTGTGTGGTCAGTGTAGCTGGCTTCTCTCCCTCACTCCTACACTGTGTGGTCAGTGTAGATGGCTTCTCTCCCTCACTCCTACACTGTGTGATCAGTGTAGATGGCTTCTCTCCCTCACTACTACACTGTGTGTTTAGTGTAGCTGGCCGTGTCTCAGTCCTCAGTCACTGTAGTCAACCACTATGCTGCCAGTGTTGCCACAGTCACTGTAGTCAACCACTATGCTGCCAGTGTTGCCACAGTCACTGTAGTCAACTACTATGCTGCCAGTGTTGCCACAGTCACTGTAGTTAACCACTATGCTGCCAGTGTTGCCACAGTCACTGTATTCACCCACTATGCTGCCAGTGTTGCCACAGTCACTGTAGTCAACCACTGTGCTGCCATTGTTGCCACAGTCACTGTAATCAACCACTGTGCTGCCAGAGTTGCCACAGTCACTGTAGTCAACCACTATGCTGCCAGTGTTGCCACAGTCACTGTAATCAACCACTGTGCTGCCAGAGTTGCCACAGTCACTGTAGTCAACCACTATGCTGCCAGTGTTGCCACAGTCACTGTAATCAACCACTGTGCTGCCAGTGTTGCCACAGTCACTGTAATCAACCACTGTGCTGCCAGAGTTGCCACAGTCACTGTAATCAACCACTGTGCTGCCAGAGTTGCCTTGGGTCGCCATGTTTCATGAACCGTTTTTATTGATTCCATTCGAGCATTGACAAATATATTTTTTCTCAACGTTATATATTAATAATTGTTCTACTCTGTACACAACATAAAACATTAAACAATATCAAAGCAACATCATTATAAACAATAAATATTGGAGATAGTGAAGTTTGTTATAAGCTGTCACATGTTGAATCAACAATAATTAACTGATAGTGTTGATAATAAGGAAAGCATTTATAGTTGTATTTTGCCCTACAAGTATTTGTTAAAACTTTTATTTAGAACTAAATAGGACTCTTAATTTATCTAGCAAGTTGTCTTAAAGGACACTTTGGGGCTCATAATACTGATTATAGATAGCAGTTAAAGGTTATAATATGGGAATTTATTTTTTTAATGACCTTGTATAATTAGTTTATAAACTAATTACTGGTGTAATTTCTCTTTGTATAATAGTATTAAGTCAGGCACGCCTGAAGCTGCTAACTTAGTGTTCAGGAGGATTCATACTATCTCCCTCATGATGCCTTAAGCCATAGTCCTCTGTATGTCTTCCTCAGTAGTTCTCTGACTGTCTTACTGAGTAACCCTTAGGATGTTTTCCTAAGTAGCCCAGAGCATGTCTTCCTCAGCAGCCCAGAGCATGTCTTCCTCAGCAGCCCAGAGCATGTCTTCCTCAGCAGAAGTGTGTATGTCTTCCTCAGTAACTTTGAGCATGTGTAACACAGTAACCCCAAGCATTACTAACACAGTAGCCCCGAGCATGTGTAACACAGTAGCCCCGAGCATGTGTAACACAGTAGCCCCGAGCATGTGTAACACAGTAGCCCCGAGCATGTGTAACACAGTAGCCCCGAGCATGTGTAACACAGTAGCCCCGAGCATGTGTAACACAGTAACCCTGAGCATGTGTAACACAGTAACCCCAAGCATTACTAACACAGTAGCCCTGAGCATGTGTAACACAGTAGCCCCGAGCATGTGTAACACAGTAGCCCTGAGCATGTCTAACACAGTAGCCCTGAGCATGTCTAACACAGTAGCCCTGAGCATGTCTAACACAGTAGCCCTGAGCATGTCTAACACAGTAGCCCTGAGCATGTCTAACACAGTAGCCCTGAGCATGTCTAACACAGTAGCCCTGAGCATGTCTAACACAGTAGCCCTGAGCATGTCTAACACAGTAGCCCTGAGCATGTCTAACACAGTAGCCCTGAGCATGTCTAACACAGTAGTCCTCTGCCCTCAAAGACAAGCTCTTAAGATGTCGCCTGCATTAATCTCAAATCCTGTAGCAGTCTCCAGCATGTCGTCTGTAGTGCTCTCTAAGGCACCACCTGCGTTAGTCTTCAGGATGTTGCCTGCAGTAGTCCTCAGGATGGCACCTGCAGTAGTCCTCAGGATGTCACCTACAGTAGTCCTCAGGATGTTACCTGCAGTAGTCCTCAGGATGTTACCTTGCGGTAGTCCTCAGGATGTTACCTGCGGTAGTGCTCAGGATGTCACCTGCAGAAGACCTCAGGATGTCACCTGCAGTAGTCCTCAGGATGTCACCTACAGTGGTGCTTAGGATATGTCACCTGCAGTAGTCCTCAGGATGTCACCTACAGTGGTGCTTAGGATATGTCACCTGCAGTAGTCCTAGTCCTCAGGAGTAGTCAGGATGCCTACAGTGGTGCTTAGGATATGTCACCTGCAGTAGTCCTCAGGATGTCACCTACAGTGGTGCTTAGGATATGTCACCTGCAGTAGTCCTCAGGATGTCACCTACAGTGGTGCTTAGGATATGTCACCTGCAGTAGTCCTCAGGATGTCACCTACAGTGGTGCTTAGGATATGTCACCTGCAGTAGTCCTCAGGATGTCGCCTACAGTAGTGCTCAGGATGTCACCTGCAGAAGACCTCAGGATGTCACCTGCAGTAGTCCTCAGGATGTCACCTACAGTGGTGATTAGGATATGTCACCTGCAGTAGTCCTCAGGATGTCGCCTACAGTAGTGCTCAGGATGTCACCTACAGTAGTGCTCAAGATGTCGCCTGGAGTAGTCCTCAGGATGTCACCTACAGTAGTGCTCAGGATGCCACCTACAGTAGTCCTCAGGATGTCACCTGCAGTAGTTCTCAGGATATCACCTGCAGTAGTCCTCAGGATGTCACCTATAGTAGTGCTCAGGATGTCGCCTGCAGTAGTCCTCAGGATGTCACCTGCAGTAGTTCTCAGGATGTCACCTGCAGTAGTCCTCAGGATGTCACCTATAGTAGTGCTCAGGATGTCGCCTGCAGTAGTCCTCAGGATGTCACCTGCAGTAGTTCTCAGGATGTCACCTGCAGTAGTTCTCAGGATGTCACCTGCAGTAGTCCTCAGGATGTCACCTGCTGTAGTTCTCAGCATGTCACCTGCAGTAGTTCTCAGGATGTCACCTGCAGTAGTTCACAGGATGTCACCTGCAGTAGTTCTCAGGATGTCACCTGCAGTAGTCCTCAGGATGTCACCTGCAGTAGTTCTCAGGATGTCACCTGCAGTAGTTCTCAGGATGTCACCTGCAGTAGTTCTCAGGATGTCACCTGCAGTAGTTCTCAGGATGCCACCTGCAGTAGTCCTCAGGATGTCACCTGCAGTAGTTCTCAGGATGTCACCTGCAGTAGTCCTCAGGATGTCACCTGCAGTAGTTCTCAGGATGTCACCTGCAGTAGTCCTCAGGATGTCACCTGCAGTAGTCCTCAGGATGTCACCTGCAGTTGTTCACAGGATGTCACCTGCAGTAGTTCTCAGGATGTCACCTGCAGTAGTCCTCAGGATGTCCCCTGCAGTAGTTCTCAGGATGTCACCTGCAGTAGTTCTCAGGATGTTGCCTGCAGTAGTTCTCAGGATGTCACCTGCAGTAGTCCTCAGGATGTCACCTGCAGTAGTCCTCAGGATGTCACCTGCAATTGTTCACAGGATGTCACCTGCAGTAGTTCTCAGGATGTCACCTGCAGTAGTCCTCAGGATGTCCCCTGCAGTAGTTCTCAGGATGTCACCTGCAGTAGTTCTCAGGATGTTGCCTGCAGTAGTTCTCAGGATGTCACCTGCAGTAGTCCTCAGGATGTCACCTGCAGTAGTCCTCAGGATGTCACCTGCAGTTGTTCACAGGATGTCACCTGCAGTAGTTCTCAGGATGTCACCTGCAGTAGTCCTCAGGATGTCCCCTGCAGTAGTTCTCAGGATGTCACCTGCAGTAGTTCTCAGGATGTTGCCTGCAGTAGTTCTCAGGATGTCACCTGCAGTAGTTCTCAGGATGTCACCTGCAGTAGTTCTCAGGATGTCACCTGAAGTAGTCCTCAGGATGTCACCTGCAGTAGTCCTCAGGATGTTGCCTGCAGTAGTCCTCAGGATGTCGCCTGCAGTAGTCCTCAGAATGTCGCCTGCAGTTGGATGGATTACAAGAACCTCCAAATCCAGGGATCTCATCACAAAACTCATATTATTCAAATCATTTGTGTTGTCGCGCCTTGAGTACTGCTCGATATTCACTTCCATCTTCATAGCAGAAGAGAGTACTGGAATAGTGGGAATACAGAGAACATATGAAACACGCATAACCCTCAAGCACCTAAACTATTGGGGTCGTTTCTCAAAATGTACCCTTTAAAAGGAGACGAGAGAGGTGTCAAATAATATACAACTGGAAAATACTGGAGAGCGAGGTGCACAGTAAAATAACATCTTTGATTGAATGATGTGAAAGGAAACGCCGAACAGAGTCAAAGAAAAGCAGAGCTGCCAGAGGCAAAATCAGACAACATTGTATGTCCAGAGTTGAGGTCCAGAGTTGTTCAATATCCTCCCAGCATGTATTATAAATATTGCCAGCACATAAGTGGACGTCTTCAAGTGAAAACTTGACAGTTTTTTGTTGCAGACTTCTTCTGGTCAAGTAGAAATGCCGGACCAACCAAGCTGTAGTTCCAGGAGAGAAGCCAATAGGATAAGGCCTACCATGAGATGCTGGAAAGGAAAGCTCCTTATCTGTGGAGAAATAGTATACAAAATTAATTATAAAAGCAAAATTATGAGAGAGAGAGAGAGAGAGAGAGAGAGAGAGAGAGAGAGAGAGAGAGAGAGAGAGAGAGAGAGAGAGAGAGAGAGAGAGAGAGAGAGAGAGAGAGAGAGAGAGAGAGAGAGAGAGAGAGAGAGAGAGAGAGAGAGAGAGAGAGAGAGAGAGAACAGTTTAAAGTATATTGTTATGATCTGGCAAGAGCTTAAGAACAGTAGCAAGAATTACAGGAAGATTAAAATAAACTTTGAAAGAAAAAAATCCCAGATAATTATAAATCGACAACTTATTAAGAAACTATCAGTTGTCTGGATGAAAGTATTTGGAATTTATTGGCAGGAAACTTTTTAGTCGAGTACATGAAGTTAAGGAAAATTTAACCAGAGGTTGTTAGATGTGCATTATTCCCTGAGAGGCGTTTGGAGTTCTCGGCGCCTGCCCTCCGGCTCATTACCACAAAGATTGCAGCTTGATACCCAAGTGGGGCATTGTGCTGGTTACGCTCGAGACATATTATCTCTCAAGGGTGCTACTAGACCATGTTATCTTGTAAGGTTACTATGTGGGGAATGTTATTTTGCAGGATTACTATGTGGGGGAATGTTATCTTGCAGGATTACTATGTGATGAATGTTATCATGTAAAGTTATTACTGTGGATTGTTATCTTGTGATGTTTCTCCATGAGCATTTTACCTTGTAAGATTACTTGGAGGCGTGTTACTCTGTGATGTGTCTACAGGGAAGTGTCTTCCTGTAATCTTACTAGAAGATCGTGTCATCCTGTAAGCTAACTACAAGGTCGTGTATCAGATAAGATTTCGCTAGTTGTTTTCGAATGCTGGCTTAATGTTAATTGGCTGGGCTCTTTACTGCTAGTTTGAATGCAAATGATTTATTATAATCTAGAAGTATATAATAACTCATGATGGATTACAGTTATCAGAATCGTTAGGCACAATATCTAGCGAGAGAAGGTAATGACATCAACAAGTCAATCACCAACGTTTGACGCAAGAACCGTTTGATTATACAAGAACCAGGTGTGTACAACGTTGATCAGTCGTGCTCCGGTAGCAGCTGCACACGAGCAAAACCTCAGCATATCAAAGAGACGGTTAATTATATTCCCGACGCTGTCACGTGGACCGTCTCTCTAAGAACACACCGCTGGTCTAGGACGGCCGGGCTGCTCTAGTGTCTAGTGCAGTTATTGCCTGTTGGACTTAATACAAAGGGAGAAGGAGTCAGAACCATTAATAAATATTACAACCTCTCACTGCATGGAAGGTAGATAATTTTACGTTGATGTCGGTGATGTGAGGACAGGTTGTTGAAATTGGTCAGCATGCCGTGAGTGACCAGCATGCAGTGAGTGATCAGCATGCAGTAAGTGGCCAGCATGCAGTGCATGGGCAAGCATGCAGTGCATTGCCAGCATGCAGTGCGTGGGGCCAGCATGCAGTGAGTGGCCAGCATGCAGTGAGTGGCCAGCATGCAGTGAGTGGCCAGCAAGCAGTGAGTGGCCAGCATGTAGTGAGTGGCCAGTATGCAGTGAGTGGCCAGCATGCGATGAGTGGCCAGCAAGCAGTGAGTGGCCAGCAAGCAGTGAGTGGCCAGCAAACAGTGATTGGCCAGCATGCAGTGTGTGGCCAGCATGCAGTGAGTGGCCAGCAAGCAGTGAGTGGCCAGTATGCAGTGTGTGGCCAGCATTTAGTGAGTGGCCAGCAAGCAGTGAGTGGCCAGCAAGCAGTGATTGGCCAGCATGCAGTGTGTGACCAGCAAGCAGTGAGTGGCCAGCATGCAGTGTGTGGCCAGCATTTAGTGAGTGGCCAGCAAGCAGTGAGTGGCCAGCAAGCAGTGATTGGCCAGCATGCAGTGTGTGGCCGGCATGCAGTGATTGGCCAGCATGCAGTGTGTGGCCAGCATGCAGTGAGTGGCCAGCATGCAGTGAGTGGCCAGCATGCAGTGCGTGGCCAGCATGCAGTGATTGGCCGGCTTGCAGTGATTGGCCAGCATGGTGTGAGTGGCCAGCATGCAGTGAGTATACATCATGCAGTGAGTGGCCAGCATGCAGTGTGTGGCCAGCATGCAGTGAGTGGCCAGCATGCAGTGATTGGCCGGCATGCAGTGATTGGCCAGCATGCAGTGAGTGGCCAGCATGTAGTGAGTGGCCAGCATGCAGTGAGTAGCCATCATGCAGTGTGTGGCCAGCATGCAGTGAGTGGCCAGCATGCAGTGAGTGGCCAGCATGCAGTGATTGGCCGGCATGCAGTGATTGGCCAGCACGCAGTGAGTGGCCAGCATGCAGTGAGTGGCCAGCATGCAGTGATTGGCCAGCATGAAGTGTGTGGCCAGCATGCAGTGAGTGACCAGCATGCAGTGTGTGGCCAGCATGCAGTGAGTGGCCAGCATGCAGTGATTGGCCAGTATGCAGTGTGTGGCCAGCATGCAGTGAGTGACCAGCATGCAGTGTGTAGCCAGCATGCAGTGAATGGCCAGCATGCAGTGATTATCCGGCATGCAGTGATTGGCCAGCATGCAGTGAGTGGCCAGCATGCAGTGAGTAGCCATCATGAAGTGTGTGGCCAGCATGCAGTGAGTAGCCAGCATGCAGTGTGTGGCCAGCATACAGTGAGTGGCCAGCATGCAGTGAGTGGCCAGCATGCAGTGAGTAGCCATCATGCAGTGAGTGGCCAGCATGCAGTGTGTGGCCAGCATGCAGTGAGTGGCCAGCATGCAGTGTGTGGCCAGCATGCAGTGTGTGGCCAGCATGCAGTGTGTGGCCAGCATGCAGTGAGTGGCCAGCATGCAGTGTGTGGCCAGCATGCAGTGTGTGGCCAGCATGCAGTGTGTGGCCAGCATGCAGTGACTGGCCAGCATGCAGTGAGTGGCCAGCATGCAGTGTGTGGCCAGCATGCAGTGAGTGGCCAGCATGCAGTGAGTGGCCAGCATGCAGTGTGTGGCCAGCATGCAGTGTGTGGCCAGCATGCAGTGCGTGGCCAGCATGCAGTGTGTGGCCAGCATGCAGTGCGTGGCCAGCATGCAGTGTGTGGCCAGCATGCAGTGAGTGGCCAGCATGCAGTGCGTGGTCAGCATGCAGTGTGTGGCCAGCATGCAGTGCGTGGCTAGCATGCAGTGTGTGGCCAGCATGCAGTGCGTGGCCAGCATGCAGTGTGTGGCCAGCATGCAGTGAGTGGCCAGCATGCAGTGCAGTGGTCAGCATGCAGTGTGTGGCCAGCATGCAGTGCGTGGCCAGCATGCAGTGTGTGGCCAGCATGCAGTGCGTGGCTAGCATGCAGTGTGTGGCCAGCATGCAGTGCGTGGCCAGCATGCAGTGTGTGGCCAGCATGCAGTGAGTGGCCAGCATGCAGTGCGTGGCCAGCATGCAGTGTGTGGCCAGCATGCAGTGCGTGGCCAGCATGCAGTGAGTGGTCAGCATGCAGTGCGTGGCCAGCATGCAGTGTGTGGCCAGCATGCAGTGTGGCCAGCATGCAGTGAGTGGCCAGCATGCAGTGATTGGCCAGCATGCAGTGATTGGCCAGCATGCAGTGAGTGGCCAGCATGCAGTGAGTGGCCAGCATGCAGTGATTGGCCAGCATGAAGTGTGTGGCCAGCATGCAGTGAGTGACCAGCATGCAGTGTGTGGCCAGCATGCAGTGAGTGGCCAGCATGCAGTGATTGGCCGGCATGCAGTGATTGGCCAGCACGCAGTGAGTGGCCAGCATGCAGTGAGTGGCCAGCATGCAGTGATTGGCCAGCATGAAGTGTGTGGCCAGCATGCAGTGAGTGACCAGCATGCAGTGTGTGGCCAGCATGCAGTGAGTAGCCATCATGAAGTGTGTGGCCTGCATGCAGTGAGTAGCCAGCATGCAGTGTGTGGCCAGCATGCAGTGAGTGGCCAGCATGCAGTGAGTGGCCAGCATGCAGTGAGTGGCCAGCATGCAGTGAGTGGCCAGCATGCAGTGTGTGGCCAGCATGCAGTGAGTGGCCAGCATGCAGTGTGTGGCCAGCATGTGGCCAGCATGCAGTGTGTGGCCAGCATGCAGTGAGTGGCCAGCATGCAGTGTGTGGCCAGCATGCAGTGTGTGGCCAGCATGCAGTGTGTGGCCAGCATGCAGTGTGTGGCCAGCATGCAGTGTGTGGCCAGCATGCAGTGAGTGGCCAGCATGCAGTGAGTGGCCAGCATGCAGTGTGTGGCCAGCATGCAGTGAGTGGCCAGCATGCAGTGTGTGGCCAGCATGCAGTGAGTGGCCAGCATGCAGTGTGTGGCCAGC